CCTCAAGAACAATGTTCGGTACGCTGAACCGGAATACAGACGTTGCTAAACCGGACGGTCCAGCTCTAACGATCAGAACCGCAGTCTTAATAGTTTCTTGCTCCATCTCTCACTGTTAATGAACAGTGGTGAGTGCGTGTGTATTTGTGATAATACGACGAGGAGTTAAAGGGCAATGGGGTTGAATATGTATATAAGTAAAATTCGTAATAAATCCAATTAATATTTGCTAAATTATAAAGATACAAAACCAGAGTTCTAATTTAGAAGGAAGTGTCGAATATCTACAGTATGCTTCTACGTTGAATCAACATATCGATGTCTCTGGCAATGCTCTGAGCATCTCTTGAAATGCCGACCAATCCTTGTCTGGCGAATCCAGCACAGTACAATCCGTTCTGTCCCTTCCAATGATCCGGGAACTGACGTTTCGACTTGGAGCAGGCATACCAGTGGTGCTTGCAAGTATGCTATGGATGTACTCATGGTTCTTGAACGTTGCAGTTATACTCTACTGTCTGTAAAAAACAAAGGACAAAGGAAACATTGTGATATTTACCTGAAGCCATCTGGCTACATTGCTCTTGTAACCAGTGGCGAAGATAATGGCGTCTATGTTTTTGTTCTCTCCGTTTACAAACTTGACTCTGTTCCCTTCTATGCTTTTGATTGATTGCACAACCTTCAAAGAAAAAAAAACACAAACAATAAAAAAAAAAATCATATTTTCTTGTTCTGTAGTATTTTGCAGTGTACTGTCATTTTTGTTGAAGTACCCGAATGTTGCCGGATTTGATGAGGTTCAAACAGCCAACGTCGATGGTCGGCGATCTTCCGGTCTTCATCTTGAGAAGAAATGGGCCTAATTTGGGCCTTTGAAGCCCATATCTCGACGTGTCTCCCATACTCATCTTTGCGAGGAACAGACAGAGTGTGTCCACCAGTTTTACGGGGAAGATCTTCAATTTCATAATCGTCATTGCCATTTGCACTATGCATTTCGTCAACACGTGGACCTACCATCAACCCATCACAAAGTTTATAATATATATACACATATGATTTTGTAACATATACACAAATGCATGGATTTATACCGGACTGCGGACGACGAGGGAGACATTCGCATTCGATTTGGAGAGATCATAAGCAATCTCCATGCCGGAGTTTCCACATCCGACGACCAATACATTTTTTCCGGCGAATCTATGGCCGTTCTTGTAGTCACTCGAGTGCATATACTCTCCTCCAAAGCTCTCCTTCAGCCCCTCTATCGCCGGAATCACCCCCTCTCCGTTCTCCCCCGTCGCCACCACCAGAAACTCTGCCACGTAGACCTCCTTCCCTCCCGTCGCCACATCGTCAGCCTCCACCCCCCATCCTCCCTCGTGAGACGCCGACGTAACGCGGCGGTTGTACCTAGGGTTTATGCCGAAACGGGTTACGTACTCGTCAAGGTAAGCGGTGAAACCTTGCTTGGGGACGAAGGTGGGTGCATGGCGGGGGAATGCCATGTGAGGGAGCTCGCAGAATTGCTTCGCCAGGTGGAGCTTCAGACGGTCGTAGGACCTTCTCCTCCACAGAGAGGCACTGCAATCTTCTCTCTCGAGTACAACGTTCGGTATGCCTAGCCGGTTAAGGCATGCAGACGTTGCTAAACCGGCCGGTCCAGCTCCGATGATCAGGACTTCAATCTTATTAGCTTCTTGATCCATTTCTTTGTGTATTATGAGCAATGGTGTTGATGTGCGTGTGTTTGTGATGCATGGTACGAGGAGGTAGAAGTGTATATATAAGTAATATTTGATATAATATAAGTAAAATAAGTTTCTGTAATAGGTGAAACATAAGATCTGTTGGGATAATCTCATGCACATACTTTTTATGTTCTGAATTTGGAATTAAATTGAGTCAATACACGGTTGTCATTATATTATTTCCTTAATTACATGACCCGATATTCTTGAGTTATGTTGCCCTTTTTTTAGATGTTTACATTTTTTTTAATATTTTGCAAAACTTAAGAAACTGTAAAACATCATTTTTTACAAAGATTAAATGATTAAATCTAACAGATATTACGATATTGATATATATTTTATACTAATATTTGATTATAGGTTCTAAGGACAAAAATATTTATGTAATTTCATACGTTCGGTTATAATAAATAAAATATCTAACATCTAGTTATAAAAATCACTTAAAGTATTTTATTTTATTTTATTCACATAAAAAAACAAAGAGAAAATTATATGATCAACGCTTATGCTAATCTAAACAATTTCTATAAATATGAAAAACTAGGAATGTATATATTCACATAGTATCTTCGATTTTCAATTTTCAAAACAATATCAACCGGTCCAATAATTCCAATATATATATATATATACTCGATTATATCTAATTAACGCGAAAGTCAAAGAAAATAAAAATCATATACTATAGGTATTAATTGCAATTTGAAAGACGAGAGTCGTAGTGTACGGCTATGTTGTATAAATAGAAATTTGAGATGGACAAAGGAAACTGTTTTGCATGACACTTTAATTATTCCATCACTGCACCAACCAAATCATATATTATTTAATATTTGTTTTATATAATATTCCGAGTACAATAAATTATTCCATCATCCTTTCGCCGCGTAATTACGGCTGGCGATATTTGTATTATCTCGTATCGCGATAAACCTTTAAAACAATAGGCCAGAAAATATAATCAGAGGCCCAAAATTAAAGCCCATTAAGCCCAATAAAGGCTTTTGGCGCCACACGTTTTTTTCCCATTAAACCGACCTACGCCGTTGCATCTCTCCTCCGGTTTCTCTGTTTGTTTCCCGAGAAAATATCAGAGGAATCTCCGGCTGTCAGGATACGCTATGGGGACGAAGAAATGAGTTATGGATGAAGAATGCATCAAGGTTCTATGGTGTAGTGGTTAGCACTCTGGACTTTGAATCCAGCGACCTGGGTTCGACTCCCGGTAGGACCTCCACATATTATTCTTTTTTATTTTTATTTTTAAATTCCGTAGCATATAATTGTAAGTTGTAACGTTAAGAAACAGAGGATATCCCCAAAGTCTTCGTCTTTATCATTCATAGTATATAACTAAGCTCGTAAATACAACATAATTCAGATACAAGGAATATATACAGAAGGGTTTAGTTCAGTGGGCGGTGGGGTTAAGCCCGCGATGGGACTGGACGATACAAGAGCAGTGAACGGAGGTCAAGCTAAGACAGCCGCTCATGACAAGGGAGTGTCTGGCGGAACATGTGTGTAAGGCCGGGAACTTGTCGCACACCGCCTGAACCGCGGAGGGCGTGAGGGCAGTGCATTGGCTGATGTTGAGGTTTCTCAGCCCTTCTTCCTCGTCATATCTTCTCCGCCGAACCTCGGGTTTGCTCTGCGCCGCAAGAGAGTACATGGCTCTGTCCGTGATGTTCCTGCAGTAGTACAATCCCAGTGACCGTAGACGGACACACCTGTTTGCCAGCGCTACCACACTTTCGTCTGCCATATTGAAAGAAAGAATCAATCAAACCCACAAGTGGGTACGCGGGTCGGGTACTCGAATCCGGCCTGAATGTCTCGGGTCTCACGAGATGTCACCCGATCTCAGATTCGAAATTTATTCGGATATCCAAACCTCAGGTATCCGCAGTAACTCTCGGGTACCATAGAAACACACTGACAAAAAGGTAACCTGTTCATCCGGATACTCCGAAATTCGGTTTTATTTTGGTCCACCCACCCCTATTTTGAGCAATATGATCTGATTGATTGTCAACCATCCAATGTCACTTCTACGTCGGCTTTGACATATTGACATAACATCAGACCTCTGGTACTAACTCCCTGTTGGTTTCTATAGAAGGTGAGTGGGAGAGAATCACCTGTGATGCGAACACATCCACAGAGGTCCAGAGTCCTGAGATCAGGGCAACCATATGCTAAGCTCATAACCCCATCATCACTTATATCATCACACCATCCAAGATTCAGGGACTGCATTTGGCTGCAGTTACGCCCAATCGCCTGCAGGCAAATACCATTCATGATGATGCAAGAATTTCTCAGATCATTCGAGGAAAACACAGAGAGAGAGAGAGAGAGAAGACGACCTGCAATGCATTGTCGGTAGCAGCTTTCACACATCCGCAGAGATTCAGAACTTTGAGCTTCCGGCAAGAACTCGTCAGATAGGCAAGACCCGTGTCGCTGAACGAAGTGCAGCCGCTGATGTTGAGTTTCGTGAGGTTTGGGCAACCGCGGGATAGATCATAGAGTGAACGATCGGAAAGCTTGAAGCTTTTGCTTAGATCTAGATCTTGTAGCTCGTGACAGTTATTCGCTATGGCTTCCACAGAGTTGTCTTCCAGTTGTGGAATGTCCTGACGCAGTGCTAAAGCCTGCAACTTTGTGAACTTTGGAGCAAGAGAGAGAACCAAGCTGCTCATGTTCGTCTTGCACCTGGAGAAGCAACAGATTATCCAATCAACTAGAATTCACCTCCTACTTTTCCAAGAGAACAGATATATATCTTCAATGGGACCGATACACCAACCGAAAAGGGTAACGAGAACAACCTTCTATCGATACAAAGTGGTTCAAGAAACACCAAAAGAATCACTCAGAAGATGTCGACGAGATTCTCGCTCTCTTTCATCCGAGTTAAAGAGCCTAATTCTGCGTTCTTTGATAGAACTCGATCCAATACCAAAACATTATCATAAATACGCGTAAAGTTTGATCCTTTACGAATTACAACCCCAAGAAAAGACTTTTAAAGCGGGCTATGCCAGTTTTATCTTCCCTCAAAGCACACGAAAACATCAAAAGACCTTAAGCTTTGTCCAAACCAGACATCTCTGCCAACAAAAGCAAAGCTACAGCATCTAGAAACATCTACTATATCCGTGCTTATGATCAGCCCTTCTACTTCAAGCTTCGTCACATAGATACAAACACCACAAATGAATCTGATGATTATGCCAAAAGGGTGTATGTATGTATGTATGTATGTATATGCATATATACATACCAAGAGAGGGAAAGATGAGTGAGGCCAAAGCAGATGATGTCTCTCCAGCCACTGCAAACACCAGAGGCAATGATCACCGTCCGATCGTCAACAAGTGTAAGGATCCTCATCAGAAGCTCCACCGGGATGTCTTTCCACTCCTTAATCGCCAAACCCTCCATCTTCATCACCCCAGAACCCGCCATAACCAGCTTCTGGAAGCACCTGCCCAATTCCTCCGACGACCCTTCCCTTGTTGTCACTGCTCCTCTCACAATCTTCAAACAAACTGACTAAGGTACGATATAGAAGCGGCTCTTTCTCGAATCTATCACCAGAGAGAGAGAGAGATACAAAGTAAATACCCGAGACTTACGGCATTGAAAGACGACAAAGAGAGAAAAGCTAGGGGTTTAGATGAATCAAAACGCAAAAGCAGAGCCCTTTACGTGTCAAGAAATGCAGGACATTTGCTTAATCGAAGAAGGGAGAAACCTGTTTTTACCTAACAAGAAAGTGATCAATAAATGCAGACGGTCTCAGTTTCCTGTCCTAACGAAATTGGTATCAAAAGCATCTAATCGTCTTCTGGGCTTCCAGAAAGCGAAAGAATTTATCACTACAATTTTAAAAAATGGCAAAAAAAAAATAAACATGAGGTTCTCCGTTGAATAACGTACGGCCAGAGAATTTGCTCCATTTCTGTAAATGCATAACCATCTTTCGAAATCCCAAGCCGATAAAAATTCAAACTTTAGTCTTGTGATCGTACCTCTGATTCAAATTCTTCGTTCCACTTTCTGGGTTTTCCCTCGAAATTATATATCTTCATTAAATTTAATATTTTATTTCCGTTTCTTGGTTGTTTGAGGTGATCACAAGATACAGCACAGGGCCGTCAAATAGACGAGAGCCCGAGAAGAGAGAGAGAGATGGAGGCGTGCGGGTAATGGCTTAGAGACGCGTAGGCTTCCACGTGTCAGAATCCACCGGCGCTTCTTTGTTAATAATGAAATATGGTCCGTCGATGATTACTTTCGTTTCGTGTAATCAAATTAGACTCCGACACTCATCGAATATATAAAATGTTGTTTAAATTTTGTTGTCATTAGCATAATATAAATGTCTCGTTCTCTCTGCGTACCACATAGATTTTAATATTGTCATCTATTTATTTAATGTAGTCCTTCACGACAATTTAGAGATATAAATTGTTTTGTTTAGACGTATATCAAATTTATTACTTTTTAGTTTGTCAATTTATTTTGAAATATATATATTCATTACTCCCTGATTTTTTTTTTAACTATTTCGTGTCAAAACGTGAGGATGATTGAAAAGTTGTATGAATTATAAGGAAATTAAATAGGTATTGAAAATTTAGGTCAGGCTTGAATTAGTACGCTTAGAAGTACTGATTCGGTTAAATAAATAAACATATGTCTTTCTCAATTGTACTTTACTTTATATATGTATATATTGTTTTCTTTTTTTATATAAATCCAGACCATTATATATATATATATATATATATATATTGTTTTTTTATAAATCCAGAGCATTAACAAAACCTTTTGTGTATATTATTATTTTTCTACACATTGTATATTGGAAAGAGTCAACAATGCATTCCTAGTAAAACAAAAGTTACTTCGTTCACTTTCTATTATTGCACATCTTTTTGTCGTTTACACCACAATTATGCAACAGAATTATCAACGTATTTTTTTATAATATAAATGATTTCGTTTTCTATGGTTTTATTCACATGTAACATCTTCTGATATTCAAAAATCAAATTTCGATATATTTAAAATTTTAAAAAATGATATTTCTAAAGTTCTCAAGTTCTTACACTCAGCAAGCATATCAGCTGAATATATAGATGTTTTTATTTGTTAAAAAAAAAAACTGATCACATCTGGTGGCAGACATAAAATATTTCCATGTGGATATTCGTAGAAATTGAAAAACCAAAATCAGATGATATTTTCTTGTTATATTTGATGGAACATATTAAATAAAGAGGCCATAAGGAATCTATTTAGATATTCAAACAAATAGTGGATACCGGGACCCAGTGTATGCCACGCTGACTAGGCATAAGGTCCATTGTTTTTTTTTTTCTAGTGATGATTTTATCATTTAATGTGTCTATGCAAGAGTTACAAACATTTTCAGTAGCATACCGATATATTGTATATTCAGTTTACATTGAATACATCGTTTTTGCAACTACCCTGAATTGGTGTGTTATTAAAGAAAATAAATATCAAATGGGTAAAATAATTAATATATTTTTTTCAGGTAGTCAATTTGTTTATTGAATGAACACATCTCATCGTTCTAATATTTGATTTCATAATTTTCTGAATTGTAATGCTGACAGCAGAATCCAATCATTCCTTAATTAGCTGCAATTTCCATGTTTATAATATACATATACATATATATAACCCTCAACAAAAGTCCAAGAAATTAAAGAGAGAAAACAAAATAACTGAGAGAGAGAAAATTCAGAGCTTGTAAAATTCAAACCTTCCAAACAGCATCTAATTCCATACATCGGACTTTAACATAGTTAATGCCGGTCAACGCCATAATGCTTCACATTCATACCATAATCATAACCATATACAGACATGGCCTCACTCACACACATATATATCATATGATATATATATATATATGCGTATATATGTGTGCGTAATGGGCATTACACGGCAGCGACCACTCTCTCTTCAATGGCAGAGCCAGCGACCGCGGCTGCGGCCACTACCGCCGAAGCTTTCTTTGCCGCAAACGCAATTTTCTCTTTCTTCTCGTCCTGCTTAATCTGATGTTCCCTGCACTCTGAGCTACAAAAGGCCCTATCTCCCCTGCCATACCCAAACAATTTAGAACCTATATATGTATATACCCTTTTGCATCATGTCCAGTAACATATTTATCAAAAGCTTCAAACTTTACGCTAAACACACAGTCTTGGACACTTACACACGTGTGTGTAGGTGCGTAAGTATATACCTATACATATAGATGTCGTGGCCGGGAACAAGTCGGCGTTTGCAGAGAGAGCAGGATCTGAGGAAATCGGAGTTGTAATCGGCAGAGTGCCTCCTCTGGAGACCTCTCGGTGAGACCATCGCTAAGAGCCGTTGATCAAAAGACCCACGATGCTGATCAACGGCTACGATTAGCTGATCGTTCAGACCAGACGGTCTCCGGTGTGGATCGGTTAACGACGGCGGATTTAGCTGATCCGACGGCTCTGATTCTCCGGGAAGATTCAGATCTGACCGTATCTCCGACATACTCGTAGTTCTATTCATCGGCGGTCGTTGTCTCTTCCCCAGCAACATCTGGTTTGTGTTTTTTTTTGCTCTGTACAGAGCAGGGTAGAGAGAGAATGAGAGAGGAGAGAGAGAGGAAGGAAGAGGGAGGGGGAATATAAAGAACCATAGAGTGAGGAGTGGATCTGGACCGTTCATTTTTTTTTCTAATCTGGTTCTATTCGCATCATCACGGGAGCGCCACGTCAGGATTAATTAAAATCTATCGTAAAAACCCTTCAAAATCCCTTTAAGATAATAGTTAAAAATTGAAAAATCAAAACTAATTTAGTAATTAGCGAATAAAATAAGCTAATATCCAACGAAAACAGTAAGCATACTCTTATTAAAGAGAAATAAGGTTTACTCATTGCAGCTGTTGACATTTCTGTAGATTCATGGTTTTACAGTTTTTTTTTCTCCAACAATTGATGATTCACAGACAGGATAGAGTTACAGACTTATATCAAGAAGATTTCGTCCATTTTGGTCCTTTTTGACATTCTTGATATAAATAAATCTCTTGTTTTACATATTATTTTTTTGGGAAAAAAAAGCCAAGAATATATAATCTATATGGGAAAAAATCTAGAATTACGGCAATATATGAGCTATTTCTATCCGAACAAGTATAAAGTTTTCCTTAGTTTTCAATTCTCAAAATCTGTAACCAATTCTATGCTTAATTTGTATGCTTATTTTTTTGAGCAAGAAATCAGAATAGTTTTCAACCTCTTTCTCAAATTAACTGGATAATGCGATTTCATTTCTAATCAATGAAATTTTGGAAGGGAAAAAGAAAAGAAAGATTGTCTATTTTCATGCTACAAAGACAAAAGACAATCAATTCGGCTGCTTCGATTGTTTTGTCTACATATAGTCATTTCTCATTGGTTCTAAGTTTATTTGTCCCATTTTTTTTAAAAAAAAAGAAAATATTCATATTTTTGGAAGATATTATGAGTTAACATATAGAATGACTCATGTGGCTCAGAGCTTTTCTTATTTGTATTTTTATTGTATATTGATCAACTAATATTTCTCATATTTAAATTCTATATTTGTGCCTCGTAACTTTAAATTTAAAACAACAGCATCTAATAAAATTTATATTAATAAATTAAAATTTGTAATTTGTTAGAAAAGGAATATATTTATATGAATAGATATCACTTTTTCTCAGGTTTTCTAAAAGTTCCATTATTGTAAAATTTCTACATAATTTTGCAGCCGAAGCAATCAAATAAAAATAACAATCATTTTAGAAGGGCCCATTGGGCCCAATAATTAGCTAACATAAATGTACACGCCGCGGTTGCCCCTTGGATTCATTGCCGATTTCCACTAGCCCTTTTCATCCCCAAATAAATTCCAAAACATGATAATTGAAAATTATAACGAATCATTTATTAAAAAAAGTGTTTTTTTTTCTTGTTACAGAAAAATCTAAAATAAAAAAAATGCAAATGTTGTTTTGTTCCTAACGCCTCGGACTCGGCCCACCATTTGACAGCAATGTTATTAATTATAACGCCCTTTGCAATTTTGGAGAGCCTTGAACGTGTCTCCACTTCTCAACCTCACATCAGACTTTCCCATAATAATTTCTTTTTATAATTATTACATGAAAACTATAAATTAGTAATATATATATATATATTCTACGTATTATAATCTTCTTGAAACTTTGAATGTAAAACTAATACAAAAATCAAAACTTAATTTTAAACTTAAAATTATTAATATATATATATATATATATATATATGTATTATAATGTCAGATTGGTGTGGTTAGGTCTCCTCAAATGTGGGAAGTCACGAAATGATACTTGTAATTTATTCAAAAGTGAAATGATTATCGCATGAGAGGAGAGAGTGACTATTTGTTCAGTGTCTTTGGTAATAGCTCTGATGTGGGAGTTAGGTGCACGAAACATGCATGTTTCTCTGTGTGTTTTGAGAGACAACAAGTTTGATGTGAAATTGGTCGGTTTATGAGCATGTGGTTGGTTGTGCCCCAAAGCCCAAATATCAAATTATGGGGCCCATATTCTTCAAGTGGCCTTCATCCCATGGCCCACTTTCATTCGCTTTTTTGGGATTGTTAAGAAACCGAAGGTCGTTTGGGCCCCACATCGTCATCGTTATCACGGGTCTGGTCCAGACCCATAAAAAAAAAAACAATAATTTTCAAGCCGAAGAGAACCTATATTTTTCCTCCAAAAAAAAATATATATTAAGCGACTTAGTTAACATTAAACCGTAATATTAAAATACATACACACGCGCGCGTAAATTAAGCCCAAAAATCATCAGTTACTTCCATTGTATTGGGCTGGGCCCAATAACTACCTAACTACGAATAATTCATTCCATTCGCATGTATACATTGATTAGAGACTAATACAACATTTGTGTATATATATATATATATATATGTGTATGTATATCACTTGCCAATGCAGAAGTTGCTGAAAATGCTGGAGAGGACCTCTTCCGAAACGTCATCACCGCTTATCTGAGAAAGCCCCAAAGCGGCCTCTCTCAACTCTATCGTCCAGAAGTCTGTTGGCATCTCGTCTCTTATCGCTCTCTTTAGCCTCACTAATGCCTCCCTTGTCCGTACCAACTGCTCGCATTGTCTCTGTCAAAATCCACCCGGAAAACACACACACTCAAAGATGGCCTTTAGGAGAAGTTTCACAACCACAGGGGCAATGGGGGCAAGAAAGTTTTCAACTTTCGTAGCTGATCATCCAACTTTTAGGGGCTGAATTGCAACTTCCCAAAGTTAAGGGTCATATATGAAACCGGGAGAATCTACATAGACTCCGAAGGCCAAACCTGGTTCACAGTCCATCGATGCCCACCAGTGGGAATCCGATCGAGACCAAGAATTTCAAGAATAGCCACTTCGAGCTCTTCGATTCCTTGGCCTGTGACAGCAGAAGTGAAGACATGCTTATGGATAGCTTCCACCATGTTTTTTCTCACATCTTCTTTCAGTTGAGAGTCGACAGAAGGAGCACAGTCAATTTTGTTGATCGCGAGAATCATAGGCTGTTTCTGACATTTCAAATGCAGAATATGAATCAGAAATATTAAAAGATAGAATGAGACTATGTTGCGATTTTCGGGTTACCTTGTTAGATTGGATCTTATGAAGAAGTTCACTGTCTTCTTGAGTCCATCCATCAAGAGCACTCACCACCATGATTACGACATCAGCACCCTTTGCAACCGCTTCAGATCTCTCAACTCCTGCAATTTCGAAACTTTCAAATAAATTTAGCGTAAAAATGGTCCAGAATGTTTCAGGATCATCACAGTTTTTCTTCAACAAGGAACCATGCAAAAGCTCCAAGCTTTGCAAAAACCTAGCAGGCATCCTAAACTTGATTTGTGGTGTTTTTCACATCCTATACCGATAAAAATAAAAAGCCGGTAGACTTGTAGAAACCGCTTATCCGGAGAAGAGGAGGAGATAGAAAGAAACAGACCGATTTTTTCAACTATGTCAATGGTTTCTCTAATGCCGGCTGTGTCAAGAAGTGTCACAGGTACCCCACGGACGGTAACATTGCTTTCCACGATATCACGAGTGGTTCCGGCAATTTCCGTAACAATGGCTCTCTCACTCTGCACGCTAAAACAAAGCACATATGGAGCATGACTCAATTTGTATATATATATATATATAAATGTGTGAATGACAGAAACAATACTAAAAATTTGAACTTTTTTTCATACCCTGCTCCATGCGTTTAGAAGACTTGATTTCCCGACATTAGGACGGCCAACGATAGCTATCTGCAGCATTTAATTAGAAGAAAAATGAAAAAGATATAAAACTTTTTTTGTGAGAAGGATAAAGAAAACTGGAACCTTGAAATAGATATACCACATTATTAGCTTGAATGAAAAACCAGAAATTTACCTGCAACCCGCTCTGAAGAAGTTTGTCATAATTTGCCGTTTCTAATGCGCTTTCTACGTCTTCAGACATGGTGTTTATTTTGGTGACAACTTCATTTATGTCAAGTGGAGGCATCTCGTCCTCAAAATCTAAGCGAGCTTCGATTTCAGTAAGGAGCTCAATACATTGTGCTCTTAGTGATTTGACCATTGACGAAAACCCTCCCTACAATAATTTGAAAGAGGGATTATTGTTATTAAGTTAGTAACGACGACGAGTATGGAGAATCTTACATAAAAGTTGACATGATTATCGCAAGAGACAAACTGGCAGTAGAAGAGAAAGTGTATACCTGAATCCCTTCCAAAGCAGCATCAGCAGCAGCAGTAGACTTGGCCGAGATAAGTCTTTCCACGTTTTCAGCTTGGGAAAGGTCTAACCGACCATTGAGAAAGGCCCGGAGTGTGAACTCTCCTGAATGCACAATATTCGTCGGCCAAAGAAATGGATGAAAGAATCATGATTAAATCGGGGTCGTGCCCAACAGTGTGAATTTACAGTCAGATTAGCTCCTAACTAGAATTGTTAAGAGTGAATCATGCAAAAATGTTCAAACTCACAACTAAGAATCTCTTCAACGAAAGGAAAAAATTAATCAAAGAAACAAAGGATGAACAAAAAATGATGAAAAGAGTTTATGAGCAATAATGACCTGGTTCTGCCAGCCTTGCTCCTGCTTCCATACATGACCTCAAAACACGACGAAGACACACTTCGCTCCCATGACACTGGAGCTCAACTACATCCTCACGAGTATATGACCTCGGAGCCAACATTGCCACTGCTAAAACCTAACCAAGCCAATAAGAAAGTAACATGAAACACACGTTTCAGACAATCATCCACACTTTGGATGATCTTCAGACAGTTGAAGTCTTCAAGCACGAAACAAAGACAAAGGGCCCGACATTTATAACGCGTTTTACCATCACGAAATAAGTTTATCCGGTAAGCTACTGCAGAGTACTCAGGAACAGAAATAGCCATGTAACATCGATATAACTGAAATTCAGAACCTTTTTAATCTACCTCATCAATGACATTGCCGTTTGAATCAACGACGACACCGTATTCCACGAGATGACTCGTAGGTCGCCAAGAACCCGGACCCGGAACCCGACCCATGTTCCTCCTCTTCGTCTTCGGCCGAAACACTCGGCCGGCGACTTCCACAGCTGTAGGTCCCGACATACGCACGATTCCCACCGCACCAGGTGGCCCACCAATTGGAGTCACAATCGCCACAATCGTGCTCGAACTATGAAACCGGTCAACGTTCTCGACGGCCGATTCAACAAGCCCCGCCACACGCTCATCGCCCTTGAAAAGAAACGCATTCTTCTCTGCACCAAACAAACGAATCAGAGGAACCCATTGGCCTAAAACATAAAACATCGGCAAGAGAAAGAGACAGAGAAATCTAGAAACTTCGGAAGAGTTTCGACGGCTTTGGACCTGGAGACGACGAGCAGGGTTTAAGGTGGGTTTGAAGGGTCTTGGGAGAGGAAGAGAAGAAGAGAGAGAAGCGTTTATTCGAAGTAGATCTCGAGATTCTGCTCCGGCAAAGGATCGGAAACGGTGACGAGGAAAGCCGGAGGAGGTGACCGGCGGCGGAGCGGAAGAATAGGAGAAGCATCATCGACGACGATAGACGAACGGACCCTAAAAGAACGGATAAAGGACGCGGCAACATATTCCGCGATGGCGGAGCAAAACGCAGCGTTTTGTATAAAAATGGTTTTTGGGCTCTATCAAGAGAAGCCCAACCTCAAATAAAACGTTAAGTCGAAGTGTACGGAATCGGTTAGCGTTCCGTTTTCTCTCCAAAATTTCCCGCCATTCAAAGCAAGATCTCTCTCTCTCTCTATATATATATATTTACTAGCTCTCTCTCTTTGAAAGTATTAGCCCCTTAACGAGCACCAATTTCGTCTCCCTCCCTCCCCTTTGTCATGGAGAATCCTTCGAAACCTAAATCGCAGATCGGTGATTGTTCCGGAGATCTCCGATCTTCCGCCGCCGCCGATCCACACCGCGACAAGTTCCCTTTCTTTCGGCATCGATCGCGGCAAATCTCGCGGGACACTTGGCTCATCTCCGTCTTTGTGCTTCTCCAGATTGTCATCTTCGCAGTAACGATGGGTGTCAATGACTGTCCCGGAAACTCTTACGGTGACTGTGCCGCCGAATTCCTTGGCCGATTCTCCTTCCAGCCTCTCTCCGAGAATCCCATGCTCGGTCCCTCCGCTTCTACGTGAGTAGCTTTCTCTTCGCTTTCGATTTTGGTTTCTGCGAATTCAGTTCTGCAATCCAACCTCTGATCCGCGAATGTTGACAATCTATGAGGTTTCGTTCTCTTCTTCAAGTCTACTGATTTGATTTCTGGGCTGTCTATCATGGAATTCTACTGATTGGCCTGTGCATATTGTGTCATGCAGTCTGAAATTTGATTTGATTTGGCCTATGCACATTATTTCTTCTGAGCAGCTTGAGTATAAATAGTTTCAGGGCTCATCCACAACTACGTAACAGATGAACATCAACATGGGATTAATCGTCTCGAGTTTGCAGGTTAGAGCACATGGGAGCTCTTCGTTCGAATATTTTGGCAGAGAGTCGTGAGATATGGCGCATTTTTACATCCCAATGGCTGCACAGCGGATTATTTCACCTTCTCAGTAATCTTGGGAGTTTAATTTTCGTCGGGATATACATGGAGCAGGAGTTTGGACCAAGTAAATTAGTCTGCTTGACCTTATAAACTTAAACCTTATGCCTGATATGTTCTCGTATGATATTTCTCACCTCTGAAATACGCCTTTCTCTTGCATTACTTTGATTTTCAGTGAGGATTGCTGCAATTTATGTACTATCCAGTGCCTTAGGAAGTCTGTTTGCTGTGGTTTTTGTTCAAGACATCCCATCAGTCTGCCCTGCTGCTGCTTTGTTTGGATTGATTGGAGCAATGCTTTCAGCACTTGCAAGGAACTGGAATCTCTACAGCAACAAGGTCGATCCTTTCTCGTGTTTCTTGTCACTAGGTATCTTCTTTTCACAATCTTGTTGACGATGTTCTTCGCTTGTTTACAGACCTCGGCCATAATGCTGATAGTGGTTATCTCCTCCGTCAATTTCCTGCTGGGTTTCCTCCCTTACATAGACAACTTTGCGAATATCGGAGGTTTGGTATCAGGATTTCTCCTCGGATTTGTGCTGTTATTCGCCCCTCAGCTCAGACAGGTTCCCCCACATAAGGCGAGTTTCTTAAAATCTGAAATTAAAAGATCCGAGAAGCTGAAGGAAAAGTTTGACAGACCCATTCTAAGGATAATATGCCTTGCTCTGTTTTGTGTTATGTGAGTTGTTCTCCTTCTATCTACACAAATATTGAGCTTAGTTTCTCTGTGCCTGTCATCTTCTTATGACACAAAAAGAGCTTTATCCCCCCCCCCCATAGATCGGCTGGGTACCTCTTGACTATTATATGAGCAATGACGATCTGGTCAAAATGGTTACACAGTATGCCATCGACGAAGAGAACCAAGAAGAGGTCAGGATTCAGTGTTTGAGATCTTAACACGTATGTTTCATTTGGATCTCGGGTCGTTGTTGTTGTTTATGTTCTTTATGCTTTTTTTTTCAGGGAACAAATGTGGTGCTTCATGAGATTGTGGATGTCAATCTGATTCCGTGCAATGGTTTTGTGTTTTAATATCGTTTTGGGGGAAAGATCTGCCCCTTCCTAACCCAGAGCTGAAGCGTTATCAAACGAAAGTGTGGAGAAGTGTTACCGACGACATCGAGGTTAAGATATTCAGGCTTTGACCAACTGATGAAGGTAGATGACTTCGTCACCCCTAAATATACTTATATACTTGTTAATCCGAATCATATTGTTATATTTTGTCGTTAGCTCAACCGATATGTCTTGCACCATCATGATTGATGTAGTTATTTCTTTCGTTATTACAAGATTCACTTCCATGTCTAACCATTTATGCGACCTGTGGTCTGTCTCTTTTGATACGAGCTAGACTCTTTTCTGGGAAAAGATACAAGCATATTAGTGCGTGTCATCATATCTGAGACTGTTATAAGCCTAGTTTTGATGTTGACCAAGTTTAGAATTATTTGTATACTCAGTGTTTGTGATTTGTTGAAATGTTTTT